GTATGCGCTGCTGGGCTATGAACACAGCACGACTGGGACTGCCGCCTTCCGCTGGTAAGCAGGAGGCCGAGGAGGGCACCCCCTTTGCCACCAGTAGGCCAGCAGTCAAGGAAGCTAAAGGAGCCAGGCACAAAACGTTACGCAAGACCTGGGTGAGATATTGCCAGACTGGGCAAACAGGACATACGGGCAAAGGGCAAATCGTGTTTTGAGGGCACGCGGTTCACATTTCCCTCCAAGGAACTGTGATGTGTGAACGATGCGTATTATGACCATGACTATGAAAGTCAGGCTTCTCGGATACAAATAAAGGTGCAGTAGCTGCCTCAAGTGGTGTAGCTGTTGTGCCTCCATTCGGTCACAGGAGCTGCAGCAGCTGTGAATCTCCGTACATGTGCAGCTGCTGTTGATGTTTTCAGGGAAAAGTGACTGAGCCCCAAAATGTTGCATGGTGGCTGCATCCCCATTCCAAAGGTGGATCTGGGGAAAGAGGCATTCTGATCCCCAAAGTAGATGTTAAGATCTCCTATCTTCTGTGTTGATTTGGTATCTTCCTGGAAACAAAGTGTCTTCTGGACACTACTTTGCAGCTACACCATGGGCATCTAAGCACCATGGTAAGAGTGGAAACGCACAGACTGCTATGCGCCTCCACATGCCTACAGCTCCATGTCCCAGAACACACCACATGATCCATTGTCTGCAGAGCGAAGTTCTAAGTCACAACGACATCTGCTCCGACTCCTCAGAGAGCAACACAATGCTTAAGAACTCATATCAGGAATTTCATAGATGACAGCACCCACCCAGTCAAGCAAAACAGCCTATCAACAAGGCCAAGCATAATCTTCTATAGGATGGACCCAAAAGAGAAAGTGACAGCACAAAGCTTGCGACCCACAGCTCTCAGCTAAAGGCAAAACAAGATCTCCAAGCCATCGGACATGATCATTCAGATGGGCTGTAGGACTCTGCTAGCTTACAGACCGTCCTGAACATTAAGCAGCTGCTCACCAACAAGAATAGGACATCTAACAGAAGCACAAATGCAGGGGTCAAGCCCTGTAACAAATCCAACTTTGTTTTTGTATCTATTTGAGCAACACTCTTTTGTTGTTGTTGTTACATGCCGACACATCAGCTCCGGGCTATGATGGCCTTATGAATCACAGCCCTGCTCAGCTCCTGTCAACTCAAGGCTGTGGGTTCCTTTATGGAACTGAACAATCTCGTAGCTGGTCTGCTTCTATCCTCAACGTCCCCTACCATTACTATCTCTTTTGGTGAGTCTTGCCTTTTCATGATGCACCTGAAGTACAGCAGTTTCAGCTGTGTCATTTTTGCTTCCAGAGAAAGTTCTGAATTGATGTGGCCTGGGACTCACTGTCTGGGGTATTCACAAAGCTTTCCTCTAGAACCACGTTTTTCTTCTCATCAGCTTTCTTCACTGTCCAGTTTTTACACCCATATATATGAGTGGGGATGATCTTGCCAGGGTCTCCAGTGGAACATCTGGTGCTCATTTCTAGTTCCTATAAGACAGCTTCATCAGAAATCCTATAATGAAACACTCTTATAGGAACTAATAATGCCAACCACAGCGTCAGGGTTCATTCGTGCAGTAATATACATGCGTAATATCAGGGCTGGCCCACCCATGAAGCAGGGGTAGTTCTGCCTGCATTAGACAATGCAGTAGCAAACTGCAACACTCCCCGTCCAAACTGACCAGCAGGCAAGATTCAAAGGCTGTCTGCCATGTGAAACTGATGAATTGCAGTTTGAAGAGAAACTCCAGGTAATTCATCTGTGGTTTGAATTGGGATAACAGGTTTTGAGTCATCATGTGCGTGTTATTAGCACTGTACCTGTACTGTTACCACCAGTGCCACTTTGTGAATGGTTGCCATTAACCCTTAACATAATTGTTACTGCCTATACTTTCTCTCTTGAATGCCCCTCTGAATTCACTGTTTACTAACAGAAATTCTCACTGCTATCTCCAAGCCAGGATCAGAGGCAACCGCAAGAATTTCTCCTGTTATCACAACCACCCATGAGATAAAGCAGGTGATGTGGGTGGTGGGGAGTTCAGTTCTTTCCTGGCAGACATGCTGGGTCCATCCACCCAGTCTGTTTTCCAAGGAGCAGCTTTGCAGTGGACCAGCTTTCCTCTTGCAGGTCGGCATGTAGCAAAGCTACCCTGGCTAAGTCGGCAGCTGAAGATGCAGACAGCCACTGGTTCAGCCAAGATGCATGCTCAGACAGCAAAAGGCTTCATACAGGTGGCTCTGTAAGGTTTCATGCCCTGTGCTCTGTCCACATGGCAGTGATGTGTAAAGAGATTTGGGTGGTGCTGGGAAGAGCTGCATGAGTGATGGGTCTCTCTACCAAAGTCTGAAGAATTTGGAGCAAAGGAAAAGATATCTCAGGCATAACATTCTTTGGACTTTTATAAACTATAGGACATGTTGTGACTTTATAAGATAGGTGGTGAAAGGCTGAAGGTGAGAATACAGCTTCCAAATGGTTTTTAAGTTTAAATAGATCCTTAACAGAATTTGGGAAAACACAGTACTTTGATGGAATACTGCATGATTACATACTTTTGCTGCAAATTTCCTGACAAATCCCATTGGGCAGGAACCCTCAAAACCATATCATTGAATCCCAGCAAGCCAGCAGCTCATTCGAATTAGCAAGGAAGGAAGGAAGTCACAATTTCCCTTAGGTGAGGGCTTGCACATTTCTCCTGCTTCTCTGGGTTTTCCCCCAGAACAGAAGCCCCTTTCAACCCTTCCTTCCATTTAGAATCACTGTGGTGGGGGACAGGTTCGTTCGCCAACTGATGCACGATCCTTAGAAAGCCTGGATCACGCCCCCTCCCTCTGTGCACCTGGCCCCAAGCCAGACAGGGCTTTGAAAGTTGATAGCAGCACACCCAACTGGGCCCAGAAACAGACTGGAAGCTATTGCAGATCACAGAGCGCTGGCATAGCATGTTAAAACAATTTTCAAAGGCATTGGAGGGCCACCTGCTGGCATTAATGCACCTGCCTCTTCCTCCTCTTGCTCCACAGCGCTCAGCATGGAACCGCTGATGGTCCTGACGGTGCCTCCTTGGCAGCAGAGGAAGGACCCAGCAGCAGCCACTCTGGCAGCTCTGTCTTCTCCAAAGTATGCCAGGTGGGCTCAGCTGGCCCTGGCTGCTGCTGCTGCTGCTATCAATTTTGCTGCTAGCTACTCTGCTTTTCCATCACGCCTCCTCCTTCCCCCAGGGGTCCAAGGTTTGGCACTACCACAGGCCAAATCCCCACCTCTTGTGGTTCTGTGCATGCAGCAGATGTAATATACTGTAATAAGAGTGCTTACGCCCGGTAAGGCCCTTCTATGTGTGCATGTTGTACGTAAAATAAAGCACATACATACAACAAAAATGAAGGCAGACAAGAGCAACTCAGTGAGACAGAGCAGTGAATCAAGTGATAGATGGGTGGCACTCACATGTTACTAAGCAAACACAGGAGTCCGGGACTCATACTGATCCCACAACAAACCTGAGTCTAAGCTCAGAAAAGAACAGTGGAGTGGAGTGGTGGGGATGTTCCTGAGCACATGCTAGTTCTTCAAGACCTGAGAAATGTTATGGCCAAGTAAGTAGTAGCAATGACTGGAGAAAGGATCAGAGATTATTGGTTGCATGAAGAAAAAGAACTAAGGGCACTATCTTCCTTGTTCTGCTTCTGTATCCTGCACATGGGTCACCCATCCTATCCTACTGTAACTTTCAGTGATTTTCAAGCCAACAGAACAGAAAGAGAAAGCCTTACACTCTGTTTTATGAATCTTGACTCCCTCGCCCCTACATCTATCCTTCTGAAACTCTGAAGGCTTCTTACCTAGAGACACATCTGTCATATACACTATTTTCATACAAACTGTCACACACAAAAATGCAGAAATGAGGGGCAGACTGGAGTAACTTCCCCGATACAAACAATGTGAATATTCCCCTTCTACAAAGATCAGCGCACCAATCCTTCTGATATTTTAAAGGTGTCTTAGCTAGGGTCACTACTACACTATATGCCATTCTCATAGCAATTGAACATAAAAAGAAGGATAAATGCATACTTCTTTGGAAAATGCTACTCTTGGATAAATGCTACTCTTGCCCAAAACTCCCTATACCTCTTCACCTGAAACTTGGTGGCCTGATCCTATCAGAAAGGACAATTATACCAATATTTGTCATCCAATTTGGCCAAGTAATCATTCATAATGGCAGTTCTTTAAAAAAAAAAACCCTCAAAATGTAAAGGCAATTAGTGCAATCCACCTGCACCTATTTGTTTGATATTTAGCATGCTTCACCCCTTTATAATGGTCTACTATGCCTAAAAATGTCATTCGGTTTGGACAAACCAAAGAAGTTATAGTTGCTTATTAGTTTCCCATGACAATCAGTGGAAGGCCTGAAGTGTTGAATTCCTCAGTCTCACTTCAGGTTTGGCACTAAGTTTAATTAGGTGATTGCTGAATCATCCCAAAGTAGAGAGCCCAGGTATGGGCTATTGTGGCAGCGTACAAACGGAAACAACCACCACCACCACCTACTCCTACTGTGAGCTGTTTTCCAAATCAGATCTCAAAGTGGACCTTGTGGTTAGTGTACCTTCCCCAACACAGCCCAGAGAGCCAGTGTGGTGCAGTGGTTAAGGGTGCTGGGGCTCAGGCAAACTGAATTCTAGTCCCCGCTCGGCCATGGAGCCAACTGGGTGACTTTGAGCCAGTCACAGACTCTCAGCCCAACCTACCTGATAGGATTGTTGTTGTGGGGATAAGACTTTGAGCAGCAGGAGGAGAATGATGTAAGTCACTTTGAGTTCATAAGAAAAAAGCAGGACATAAATCTAATAAATAACTAAATAAACAAGCGAACAAAAGAAACATACACGTGTGTGCATACACAGAGTCTGGGGAGGAAAGAGTTAGCTCACCATAGTCTTTCTTGCAATACTTCTTCATGTTGATCTTCAACTTCCCTTTGGATGCCTTGCAGTAGGAATCACAGTCTTTGAGGGAGAGGAGGAGGAAGAGAAAGAAGAAAACTTTAACAAAACAAATTAGTCTTAAAATGCATGAAAGGCGTTGGGGATGAGGGGAGGCAAGGGGAGAGGAGGGGGAGCGCGGCAGAAGCTGCAGCCTGCCATGAATAAGCAGCATGCCTGTGATATCCATCTGCCAGGACCTGATTGGGTCATCTAATGGGGGCATTCACTGAAAAACCTTCCTTTCTAAAGAAAGCCTCTGACAAAAGAAGCCATCCTCCTCTCCCCTCCCGTCTCTGCCTGACGAATTCTTTAGGCTACCTTCTGCAGGCTGCCGCAACGCCGCTGCCTCCCTGGGAGACCTCGGGGCCTCCCTTATTGTGCCACCCAGATCTTTGGAGAGCCACGGCCCCCTCCCCCCAGTTCTTAAACTGCAACCGGGAGCCTGATTAAAGCTCACAGAGGCCTCTTTGTCACCCCCTAACCCAGCCCTGTGTCAGGCTTTGGCATTCATTGCAGAGGGATTCTGGCTGGGGTCACCCCTCAACAAAAGGGGTCACGGAGGAAATTAGCAGCCCATGAAGCATTAGCAAAGCCTTTGGCGTCCACTCTGCCGGAGTGTGCAAATAAAATGCCCCAGTGGGGCTGCTTCGCCGCCAATGGGCCCTACTGCTGTGAGACGGTGGTTGTACTCTTCCTACATGGCCTCCGCTGTCCCCCGCTGCTGCTGCTGGGGACCCCCTCGGCCTGTTCGGGCTGCGCTGGAGTGTCCCGCTTCACCAGGGACGCCGGAAGTGCTGCCACACCCCGCGCAGGGACAGCGGTTCTCAGCGGCCGCATTTTATGCTCTCTGCAGCTCTGGCAGGGCTACTCTGGGTGCAACAGTCCCATGAAACGCCGTGCTTGGCCACTTGGAGGAACCAGCACACCACCGAGCTGGGGGGCATGTTTTCCAGTCCGAAGAATGCCGTGTCTGATATGGGCAGCTCGCCTCTCTCCAATAAATCAATGACTATTAGGATTCATTCCACATATCTCCTGCTCTCCCCAAGGAAAACCCAGAGCAGCTTGCATGGGGTTCATAGCGATCCCTCTGGAGACTGCCAAAGCCCACGCCTTGCTTCTCTGCACTTTGTCCACTCATGAATTAGAGGCACTGCAATCGTGGGAGAAACCATAAAAGGAAGCCTTGTGATGATGCATGGCATTTCTCCCACAGGTGTTCCAAATCAGTACAGGGCACAATTAACGCAATGTCAAACTAAGAACATAATGACCAGCTTAATTCAGAATGACTGGCGGGGAGCATCCACGAGAAAGACCATCAAGTGCTTAGGCAGCTTTATACTTATACCACCTATGAGAATAAGACCACTGATTCATGGGCAGCAAAGAGGAAGCAATGGAGAATTCACGCCTAGCCACACTTCAGCCCCTCTTTGCACCTCCACCTCTCACGCTTTGCAGAAGCCACTGCCAGGAAGTGGCAGAGCCAAGCCTCCTGTTTCCAAATCTTGCCCCTTCCGTCTCTTTGGGTGTCTTGCAGAGAAGGCCGGAACCTTGCCTGAAAATCCCACCCAGCATTCTGACTTGAGTGTTGGGGGAGTGAGTATGTGCCCTTCAAAGATCCTGAGATCATATTCCCTAAAAACAAAAAACAGACTATTTATATAAATGATAGATTCCTTTCTTTGTCCCTAGGGCAAACTTTCTGGGGTGCTGTAGGACTGAAATCCCTCCCTCACTAAAAGCTGGGTGGCACCCCACTGTTTACCCCCATTTGCCACCGTCTCCAAATGGGACTGTGAGGCTGTGGGGTGGGGGACAAGTTTTATTCAGCCTTAGATTTTATATAGTACCTGAAGACCTTTAGAATATTGTCTTCATGTTAGGAATGACGCTCTGTGGCTACAGCTGAAAGAAAGTAGCTTTATTTTCACTTGATTACTCCCAGAAACATTAATAGGATTATGAAGCCTGGTACTAAAGTGGCTGATTAATGCTTGAGTTCATTTGGATTCTGTTAGTGTAAACCAGCCTCACCTGACCTCTGCCTAATGTCCTCCAGATGTATTAGACTATAACTCCCATCATCCACAAATAACATAGTGGCAGGGGTGCTGGGGATTGTAGTTCAGCACATCTGGAGACTTCAGGTTGGTTGCAACTTCATGCTAGTTCACAGATTTCACAGAAGTACTGACAGAGGAAACATGAGTGAACTATGCATCTTTCCTTCTACTTCCGGGTCCCATGTGCAAGAAGCATATATGCTCCTGTGCCCACCCACAGGACCCACATGTTCTCTAGCTCTGCTGGAAGAAAACTCATCTCACCCTTGCATAAGGCCAAGCAATGCAACTCACATTTACTACTGCTGCAGAGTTCTCAAAGGAGGTGACAGAAATACATCACACTTCCATATATTCATGGATAGATCGCTCCAACTTCAAAGAAGTTTAGCAATGTAACTCTACATTACTTTTTCGTTGTTTAGATTGGACATGATTAAAGTCAAACCTTTTTTTGGCCTTCATACTGCTTTGAGTTTATATTGTTGATTAATATACATATGCTCACCTTCCTTGAACCCTTAGAATAAAATGGAAACACAATTAAAACACTGTGGAAAAGAACACCAGTAGTATAGAAATATGTCGTACTCCCCAGATCTGGAATTGAAGAGTAACATCTGAGCTTTGAATAATAATTTAGAGTAATTTAACACACAGCCAAGCACAACTGCAACAGCTCCGTTCCATGCACAGGAGTTATTGTGTCCCTTGTGGAAAGGGGCACGCACGCACGCACTCGCACACACAGAGAACGTGAACGTTGCGCTTTGCTCAGCTTCACTAACTTTCCTCCTAGTTTGCATTTTATTGCATAGTGGATTACCTTACTGGGGGCAAATCTCACATTAATATCCTATCCAATGGAACTGATCTAATGTTGTCCATGAGAAAGCTTCTCAATGCAAGAAGCTGTCAAAAACTGCTAGGCTCAACTCATCTCACTTGTTCTACTACTATCAAAGACTGCTATCCTGTTTCAAAGACTTTCAAAGCGAGTTTGCATTCTTTTTCCTCAGCCATTTACGAAAAGCCTCATTCAAGCCAGTATCATCAGCTTGGCCAAGGCAGGAGAACACAGGCCTGCCCATTTCTATTTAGGGGTCCATCAAGAGCAGCTGCGGCCAAGCTTGCAGGCTAGGATGGAGTTTTGGAATATGCAGAATGAAGCAGCACAACAGATAAAAGCATTTTTGCTTGCGCTTCAGAACTTCACTTGATCAGTGCTTGTGTAAGATACAGTCAAGCTTGCATTTAAGTTCTGATTAGAAATTGTGATCCAAGTTTACTTTTCTGTGCAGTCTTTTCACTTTCTTTTCCTAAATACTCAATTTTTGTGCCTTTTTAAGCAAATGTGGTATATGCATACATTTGGTGCCACCCTTATGCATAATTTTAGAGAGACAGAAATAGAGAGATTGGCATCTTCTGCCATTTGGAAGAATGGTTCTCAGCATAAGAGGGCCACATGACGGAAAGCGAGCAGCAGCTGGACATAAGCAGTCATTCAGAACTCTGAACTGGGCTACGACTTCTCAGTCCTTCCTTTGCTGTGGTGCTTCCAGATGAGGCTTTTATGGCCCACCACCCTGCCTCATTTATGGCATTTCATGGTGGGGTCCAGATGATGTGCAAAGCCTCCTGTTAGCGCTGGGAACCCTTGATCTTCAGTTGAGTCATAACTGCAATACTTCTGTGCAAGTTTCAAGTTTTATTAGGCCAGTAGTACCAGGCTCACTTCATTCTCTCAGGCAGCACTCTGAGCCCCAAATATTCAGAAATCAGCCAAATTCTTGGACTTCCCACCTAAGGAATCTGTCAGAAATATTAGTGATTTATCAACCTTGTCAATGCAATGTACTGAAGAGTTATTACGTTAAGTCTTAAGAATTATTGCTGTTTAATATTTAGCAACAATGGAAAGAGCATGTAGCAGATGAATATAATCAGAGCAAATAAGTGAATATTGTGATATCATGATGCTATGTGTGTTTAGACAGAAAAAAGCTCAACAGTGGCTGCCTGGAGCATGCTAGGAGTTGTAGGAATTTTTGTGTCAGAAGATGCATGGGCTTGCACTGCTACTGTGCACCCTTAATTTGCACATGACGGTATCATCTGACTCGCAACTGACATGAGTGTGCAGTCAAATGCAGGTTTACATAGACACAAGTTCTACAACTCCCAGCATCCCCAGCAGCACTAGGAGATTTAGAACTTCTTAGAATCACACAGAATTGTTCTCCTCAAAAATTCTGTATTTAATTTCCTTCAACCAAGTGAAACAGACACATCTGAAATCTGGATATAAAAAATCAGTTCCAGAAATGTTGTATCGAATTTGGAAATTGAATTGCATCTGTTGGAAAACCAAACGGGTTTTGAAATTCCACATTATGATTACAGTTTCTAAATCCAACCCTCCCTTAACTGACCCTTGCTGTACTGGTGTGTAGATGTCCTGACAGGACCGCTCCAAATACCAGAGCATTTCCTACAGCACTTGCAGACCAAGGGTTTTCAAATGCCAATGGTTCCGATTCAACATGACCCACAAACTGACCAGACCTCCGCCAACAGCACAGAAATGACTGTCACCTCCACACAAATTGTTCTGGTCCAAATGGATGAGTGATTAGGTGGCCCACTGAAAATCAACATCAGTGGTTAACATGCTGATGAAATACTTTTCCCCAAACATTGCTGGGGAAAAGCTACCATCTCCATGAAACCCTTGGGAAGAGTGGAGGAACGCAGCTCCAAACAGTTGCTATTCTTCTGCCAGTGTCTGCTTTTTTTCTTTCCACCTCCAGTAGTCCTTAATGCGAATTGTCCTGCAAACATCCCAGCAGGAACAGTGTGTGTTATCTAGAAGGGCAGCCTTGCTACCTAGCTGAAACATGGCAGAGTTCTGTCTCCACCATGCTGGATCCATCAGCAACCGCCACCAGA